GGAGCAGAACCCTGCAATTCAGGTAGCTGGAGGGACAAGAAGGGGGCGGGGAGTGGAGATGTGACCATCTTTCATGTTACACCCTGAATATGTAGGTAACATGAAACATGGTCAGAAAAGTAAACATAGCCTTTAACTATTTCTTATGTACCAATACCGGACCACTGTATGCCTGCATGGCATTATTTTCTGCACTTACATTTCTAGATCTCATTTCAATCCTTGTAAAACCAAAACTTTCAAATACATTCATTCCAATGTTTTATTATATAACAAATCAGCAGCCAATATGAACTTGTAATGCACTTGATAATAATGAAATCGCCTTGTGTCCATAGTTAGGAATAGTATTCCTGGCTTTAAGCAGCTATTCAGGTCATCTGAGACCATCCACAGGAGTTTCATGATTCATTGTCAGATGTCAGAGAAAGTGGAGTCATCCTTCACTGCAGAGGCTTTCGGGATTTTATATCTCTACATACTGCCTCTGCTATGCTCCAGGACGACTCCTGCCTGGTCTGGGCAAGCATTCGACTAGAACTTAGAAAATAAAATGCTAAAGCTATATCGCAGTAATATACCACTGAGATAGGATGTATAAATTTATCCTACTGTCAGAAGGAGGGAAGATTTCCAGATGGTATCAGTGTGCGCTGAGCTACAGAATAAAAGTGATTGTCTTCTAGGTCAGGAAACATATTCATCCTTAATTATTTGTGGCTTAAATTATCACCATCTGACGATCACATTCTCAAAAAACGAAGAGATGAAGTCAAGGCAGTCAAAGATTTCTCTACTTATTTCCATCACAATAACAGTTAGATCCCACACCTCTGCACCTTAGCATCAGTATCAAAATACCTTCTCATGCTTTTTTGAACGGAAGGTGCCATGCCTCCTGATAGAGGCTAGATAGTGGGAAGGCTGGATAGACTAGAGAAAGCTTGGAGTAAGCATAGTGGGTGTACAGTTTAGGGGCTGTAAGGTGAAAGAATAGGAAAGCGTGGCCAATAAAAAAGGAAGCGGTGGAAAGTAAGAACTGAACGTGCTGGAGGTTGATTACATTGACTTTTTCAATGTGAAGATGATCATCTAAGTACATTTGGTATAGTAGAAAGCACTGAGTATCCCTCAACACGCTTCTGCATGATCCAGTTGTCTTCTAATGCACCTGGATTACCATATCTTCAGAAATGTAGTTATTTTACTGTATGTTTGAAAACCTCCAAAATAGATTGAGAGAATGTCCACCATGCATTCTGCTTTTGAACTAAAATGTGATCGCAGAAATCAAGTGGGGAGGCAGGAGGGTGAATTTTCCTAGTTGGATTGCATGATGCACAACAACCATATCTTGAAGAAAAGTAGAAGCCCTGGGCTGGTAGGCTAAGCCGCTATACACATATATCCTCACCTTTCAAAAATGTACCTCCTAGTATAGGTTATTAAAAATACACTGCAGAAAATGTAATGCCTGGTGTGCTATAGAGAGAGCGAAAGTGAGAGAGCAAGAGAGAGAGCGCGCGGAGAGAGAGAGAGAGCGCGGAGAGAGAGAGAGAGCGCGGAGAGAGAGAGAGAGCGCGCGGAGAGAGAGAGAGAGCGCGGAGAGAGAGAGAGCGCGGGGAGAGAGTAAGTACATTTGGTATAGTAGAAAGCACTGAGTATCCCTCAACACGCTTCTGCATGATCCAGTTGTCTTCTAATGCACCTGGATTACCATATCTTCAGAAATGTAGTTATTTTACTGTATGTTTGAAAACCTCCAAAATAGATTGAGAGAATGTCCACCATGCATTCTGCTTTTGAACTAAAATGTGATCGCAGAAATCAAGTGGGGAGGCAGGAGGGTGAATTTTCCTAGTTGGATTGCATGATGCACAACAACCATATCTTGAAGAAAAGTAGAAGCCCTGGGCTGGTAGGCTAAGCCGCTATACACATATATCCTCACCTTTCAAAAATGTACCTCCTAGTATAGGTTATTAAAAATACACTGCAGAAAATGTAATGCCTGGTGTGCTATAGAGAGAGCGAAAGTGAGAGAGCAAGAGAGAGAGCGCGCGGAGAGAGAGAGAGAGCGCGGAGAGAGAGAGAGAGCGCGGAGAGAGAGAGAGAGCGCGGAGAGAGAGAGAGAGCGCGCGGAGAGAGAGAGAGAGCGCGGAGAGAGAGAGAGCGCGGAGAGAGAGAGAGAGCACGCGAGATAGGCAAAACTGTGCCAGTTGTAGCAAGAATCCAGTGGATTCCTGCAGCTGGATTCATAGGTGGATGCGGATAGTTGCGGCCACTGAGCCTGTACAAACCAATGAGAGCAGATACAGCTGTCCACCGTGTGTGAATGTTTTCACAGATAAAACGAGGGTTAGGGACAGATCTCTGCTGGATGCAAACAACTTGCATCTGCTTGCAATCATCGGTCTCTAACTGCAGATAACAGTGACCACAGTTGTCCATCAGTGTTCAAATGTAATTGCACTTGGAGTGATTATCTGCAGTTAGGGATAGATGATCTGTCCCAAACCCTTGTTCCAAGCGCAACTACATTCAAACACCGATGGACAGCTGCGGCCGTTGTCAACCTGTCATTGCTTTGTACAGGCTCAGTGACCGCAACTATCTGCCTGTGAATCCAGCCACACGGATCTGCTGGATTCTTGCTACAGCTGGCGCATTTTTGCCATGTCAATGAGGACGAAGGCTTTCTGCCCCTGTTTTGCTTACAAGTGCTTTACTTTCATATAGGCGTGTTTGGCCTAAAATAACAATGTATATAAATTATAAAGCCATTTTAATGAATTTCTGGTACATGGGCTTATATCTTGTCCAGGGCATATCTAGTACTCAAATAATATATAGCATTCTGTTCCATAACTGCATAAATCCTGATGCAGCATCTTTAGAAAAAAGCAGCAGATGTAGATTAGGATTTTTCACAGTTTGCCATGAATCAGCAGGCCTTGATGCATCCCCCTTTCCTATACTTCTAGAGGTTGTATGTATGATTAGCAACATAGAGACGACTACAGCAAGTGGTTAATCCGGGGTTTACTCTGCTCCTAATTATTTCTAGTGTTTGTAAAATCAGCTCATATCGTGTTTATTTTTCATTCTTTTCTCAGACCAGAATGGAAATGCACACCAGCTTCCTTGTGTTTCCAGTTAGCAAACTAAACCTTCATCTTAACTCTTAATCCACAATATTCCAGAGTAAAAACGAAAATAAAAGTTTGCCGTATTCTAAATTATTTTACATGCACGGTCCAACAGCACAAAGTTACATATCTCAGGAGAGACGGTAGCTGTACGTGTCCCATGTAACGTGTTTTACGCAGCAGAGCAGAACAAGTCTCTTTCCTCCACACAATGGTGAATTTGTAGTATAGTCCGCTAGAGAATTAAAAAAACAGTTCTAAACAAATCTTCCATGTTTCAGTGATTGGGCAAAGTCAATGAATCAACACAGAACTTAGTGAGATCAAAGTCTGCCAGCGGGTAGAGACAAATCGCAGCCAATACCGTGATGTTTTTCAACAATACAACAGTGCCAAAACTAACACTTTCTCTGCATAAGGACATATACATTACAACGTTATCACCGAGGTATAAAATACTATTCATCAGACATCTGTTTAAAAAGTTAATCTGCAGCAGTCCACTGACTTTTCACGGCATGAGGCCTTCTAAATCTATAATAGTCACACAAGAATCAGCAATATTTATGGATGGCTGTGATCAGTGGCGTAACTTGGAATCACCGGGCCCCATAGCAAAATTTTGTATGGGGCCCTGAGATTTCTAGTTATGCCCACCTGATAACCCAAACAGCCCACCTGAGAGTAACCCTGCAGAGCCCACCATAGACTCTCTATGGTGGGCTCTGCAGGGTCACAGGTGGACTGGTCAAACCCTCTTACCTGTCAGCATCAATCCACTGTCCGCCTCCTCCATAGTCGCTGGCGGGCCCTGCCTCCTCCGTTACTGAACCCCGCCTCCTCCATAGCTGGGCCCCGCCTCCTCCGTTGCCGACGCCGGGCCCAGCCTCCTCCTCAGCAGCTGCTGGCTGTCACTGACTTAACAGCGACTGTGAGGAGGAATGCGCCTCTGCACACATCACCGACAGGTTGTCAGTGATCTAACAGCGACACGTTCCTCCTCACAGCCGCCAGTGACAGCCAGGAGCCCGAGATGCCATAGCGATCCAGGCGGCCCGCTCGGCATCAGGGGATGTGCTGGCCTAGCCCCCCTGTGCCCCGGGCCCCATAGCGGCCGCCTGGTTCGCGTTCCGCCAAAGGCTGTGATATATAACATGATCACCGGTTGTGTTTTTCTATTGGGCCTCATTCACACGGACAGCAAAGGGTTGATCAAGGGTATTACCGCCCACCTAAAACTTAAAATAGTGGCCCCTGAGACTTGAACACATGGCGCGGTCACGGTGCTTTGCATCATGGCAACCTTTAAACAGCATGTTGCATTTGGCAGATGGTGCCACTTGCCAAATGTGACCATTGTAATCAATGTGACCGTGCTGCAATAAAAAATACCTTTTGGAATAGAAACAAAAAAAAAAACAACTAATTTTGGAAGTGGCAGTATCGCCTCCTGAGTGCCTGGAAGCCTGCAACCTAAATCCTCACTTTGACAAAAATATGAAAAACGGCATTCAGAAGCGGCAGTATCGCCTCCTTAGCGCCTGCATGTTCTATGGCTCTCTGGAGAGTGCTACACCGTAGATTGGTTTTCAGAGGGGTGATGGAGTTTGCTGCCCGTAAGAACGAGGCCATACTAAAAAGTCTTTGGGCAGCTGTAGCTCTTCAAAAAAGGCAAACATTCTGAAATATAAACATTCTATTGCAGGTAACTGTACTTTTAATGCACAAGTGTAAACTGTGCATTGAAACCCAACAGCCAGCCAGTGCCAGACTCTTTGTTCTTCTCAGCACATGGGTTTTAATTATTTCTGCATCATAAGCACTCAGAAAAGAACTCTGAAAAGTACTTACCCAGGTTATTAGTAGGGTATCGCTTTCGCAGCCGTTCTGTCAGTTTGGAGACTTTGCTTTTTATGGCATCATTCCTGCTTAGGAAACCATTATCCTGGATCAGTTCATACTCTGAAGCGCATTGGGACACATCATCATCCTCCTGATATAGACAGTAGCATGAAGAATGCATCATTATTGACACAGAAACAACATTCTTACATGTTTGCATCAAGGTCACATTTGACACAATGTCTTTGGTTATGGCAGGTCTGAGAAAGGCAATGATGGTAGTGCAGCCAATTGAAGTGCTAATATGGTATAATGAGTAATATGCCACATACACAACTGAAGAGGTAGAATGCAAAAAGAAGGCAAAATTTCTGTAATTTTTTTAAGTTTTTATATTGTAATGAGGCAAAATGTGATGGATGCAGTTAACCTCATTTACCGTACCATTACTTACGTATGTAAAGAAAGGTGAACTCTCATGGTATAGGTATACCGAAATGGCTCAAACCAGTGACGCTTCATGTATATATGCATTAGGTATGTAGTTGGAACACCAAGTACATTTATCTATATGCTCCATTTGCTTTTACAGGGAATAGAGGTTGTAATACACACATACTGCAGAAACAATGTAATGCTAGCATGCGAGTCGGTGGGCACAGTACACACCTCTAACTCCTAGAAACCTGATGAAGCCTCCTCGGGTCCAAACAGACACAGTTGTGGCTGGTCCATTTTTTGTAATGGACCATTTTGCTGTCTTTATTTCTGTACCTAAAGTTGTCATGTGGATTTGTGACACCAGTAGGAGCAAGATATTAGTACATCCGCACTTTTTCTTATCTTGGGACTTTAAATTTTGTTTGGATCCATTTAGACAAATCTATAGGGTATTATTCTGTATTAGTCTCACACCCTTGAATCCTTCAAACATTTGCAGCATGGAGGGTTCTCAAACAACATTGTGGTTCTGGGAAGTTTTTTTTTTTTTTTTTTTAAAGCCATTAATTCATCCAATTTGCTATTGTTTTACTTTTAACTACCGAAAGTTAACCGTGTCCAAATGGTAACAATGATTCTACTCCTTCCCCCTGTTCGTATAATCACATTAGTAGGGTTTTCACACAGACACGCTATAAAACACGAGAAAGGGAATCCCGTATGATACCAAGTTTAATAAAACAAAATGTATATAGTCTATTTTTGCTCTCTACACTTACAGGTCTCTGTAACGTTGCGTCGGGAAGCCCGTACAAAGTTGATTGTGTCTGCACGGCATGGTCCACAGTGTCAGGTCGGGCCATGCACCTCTGTGCAGACGCTTGTGGGCGCGCATCTACGACCTATTGTGGCGCCAAACAGGCTATTTAAGCTCAGTCCCTCCGTGCCTCTAGTGCCGAGTACTTTTTAGCTGTGTGCCTTGTATCCTGTATCGGTTTCCTGTCGTGTTGCTTTCCTGTTGCTGATCCCGGCTTGTTATTGACCCTGCTGATCTTCTGGTACCCTAACCCTGGCTTGTTTGACTACTCCTCTGTTTCCGGCTTGTTCCTGCGTTGTCTGCACATCGCCGAACTAGCCTGCTACCCGACTAAGATTTTGTCTCCTGCTTCATTACCTTCCTGCCTGCACATTGCTGACCCTGTTTGGCTGAATTTGGCTACATGCTACATGCATCTTTGCTGTGCGCCAGCATCCAAGTCATCATCCGGCACTCGTGCCCTGCTGTGTCCCAGAGTACCTGTATCAATAATCAGGCTTTCTGGGACCAGAGTTGCAAGAGAGGCCACCCTCGTCATCTCAAGCTTCATAAGCTACGTGACACATGGGTTCAGAGAATCAACTCAAAACTTACACAATTTTTTATTTTTTTTTAAATGTGTCATTTAAATCCTGCTTTAAAAATGAGCAAAGAGTAGTCTATTGCGTGAAATCACTCTTCACTTTGTAGTCTAAACATTTTGTGTATTTAATTTATTCCAACTCTTTGGGATATCATGAGCTTTTGTATCCCGTGCTTGTTGTTCAGCAGATGATTCTCTAAAACACTTAAGTCGTTAATATTCATGGACCAATTGATAGGAGCTTCTTTAGTTTCCTTCTCACTTTACCTTCAGTCTTAACCAGCATTAGAATCTTCTCCAGTGTGTCATGCTTCACATAGTATGTCCAAAATACATTCAGTACTTTAAGAAAGCAATGTTTATTTTCTTAGATATGGACTATTTTTAATGCAGCCCATGTAGCACTCAACAGCTTCATGCAACATCAAAGTCCCAAAGTTCCGGGTATCTTGCATGCATTCATTCTATCCATTCTAATTGTTCAAATCTTGCTGCCATATGTTATTACTGAGCAGATCATAACGGTCATCAGATGACTCTTTGAACACTTGCTGGTTCATATTCATGGCGTTAAGCAATGTTTATTTCCTTAAAATATGGACTATTTTTAATGCAACCCATGTAGCACTCAACAGTTTCATGCAACATCAAAAAGTCCCAAAGTTCTGGTTATCTTGCATTCATCCATTCTAATAGTTCAGGTCTTCCTGCCATATGTTATCACTGAGCAGGCCATAGAAGTCAGCAGATGACTCTCTGAATACTTGCTGGTGCACATTCATGGCGTTAAGAATATTAACTGCTTTTTCTTCCTTCTCACTTTACCTTCAGTCTTGATCAATATCAGAATCTTCTCCAATGAGCCATGCTTCACATTGTATGTCCACATTCAGTACTTTAAGAAAGCAATGTTTATTTATCTGAATAAAATGACTATTTTTATAGTAAATCTGGCTATACAGACCTATATCTGGGATCCCTCGTGTAGCTATGCCATAGATGTCTCCTGTCTGCATTGGAAAAATCCAACCTTAAACTGGCCAGTATAAATGGACTCCTTTTTACAACTTCTTCTCACATCAAATGCCATAGAAATGGCCAAAATATAATGACAAAATAATTTTCTAAAAAAAAAAAAATGAAATTCCAGTAATTGGAAGTCTAATCTGTAAAAGTGTTGAACAAAGAAGAGCATGCAGGGAATTATGGCTGGGGAAGTAGCAGGGCCATAATTATGAAAAGCCAAAATAAAAATAAGCTGGTGATACGGGAGCATGATTTGTTTTCGATAAGCCATTTCTGACTTTTTCTCCTGCGTCACATTGCCTGAACTCACCATGGTTATCAGTTGTTCCTCCTTTCCCAAGCAGCGTGAACAAAAGAGAATACGGTTAAGAACTAAATTTGGAGCGGTCATAAAAGGGCCACTTATGAGTGGGTGGCCATCACAACTGTGAGATATGTCCATTGTAGCAATCTCAATGCCATCTGAAGACAAAGCTTTTTCACTTGATGTAAAAATGCCCAGTCAAATGACCATTCCCTCTTTTCATTACAAAGGTTAACATGCAATGTTTGGTGAAAGACTTTCAAGCATGCTGTGATATGTCTGCATCCAATGCAAATGTTGGCTTTTACTGTATTCCCTAGGATGGGATAGACAAACTGACCAGGGATTCAGAAGCCACCTGACCAAATTAATATCCAATTTTTAAGGCAACTGACACCTTCTGTCTCAGAGTGACAATACTCAGCCTATTGTACCTGTGGAGAGGTAGCATTATCACCCTATTATAGGTCTACAAACACCTCCCTTCTCTCCTTTTTCAATAACATTATAATTGAGGGAAGGGGTAGGTTTAGAAAAAAAATATACACACATATATATAATAATCAGGCTTTCTGGGACCAGAGTTGCAAGAGAGGCCACCCTCGTCATCTCAAGCTTCATAAGCTACGTGACACATGGGTTCAGAGAATCAACTCAAAACTTACACAATTTTTTATTTTTTTTTAAATGTGTCATTTAAATCCTGCTTTAAAAATGAGCAAAGAGTAGTCTATTGCGTGAAATCACTCTTCACTTTGTAGTCTAAACATTTTGTGTATTTAATTTATTCCAACTCTTTGGGATATCATGAGCTTTTGTATCCCGTGCTTGTTGTTCAGCAGATGATTCTCTAAAACACTTAAGTCGTTAATATTCATGGACCAATTGATAGGAGCTTCTTTAGTTTCCTTCTCACTTTACCTTCAGTCTTAACCAGCATTAGAATCTTCTCCAGTGTGTCATGCTTCACATAGTATGTCCAAAATACATTCAGTACTTTAAGAAAGCAATGTTTATTTTCTTAGATATGGACTATTTTTAATGCAGCCCATGTAGCACTCAACAGCTTCATGCAACATCAAAGTCCCAAAGTTCCGGGTATCTTGCATGCATTCATTCTATCCATTCTAATTGTTCAAATCTTGCTGCCATATGTTATTACTGAGCAGATCATAACGGTCATCAGATGACTCTTTGAACACTTGCTGGTTCATATTCATGGCGTTAAGCAATGTTTATTTCCTTAAAATATGGACTATTTTTAATGCAACCCATGTAGCACTCAACAGTTTCATGCAACATCAAAAAGTCCCAAAGTTCTGGTTATCTTGCATTCATCCATTCTAATAGTTCAGGTCTTCCTGCCATATGTTATCACTGAGCAGGCCATAGAAGTCAGCAGATGACTCTCTGAATACTTGCTGGTGCACATTCATGGCGTTAAGAATATTAACTGCTTTTTCTTCCTTCTCACTTTACCTTCAGTCTTGATCAATATCAGAATCTTCTCCAATGAGCCATGCTTCACATTGTATGTCCACATTCAGTACTTTAAGAAAGCAATGTTTATTTATCTGAATAAAATGACTATTTTTATAGTAAATCTGGCTATACAGACCTATATCTGGGATCCCTCGTGTAGCTATGCCATAGATGTCTCCTGTCTGCATTGGAAAAATCCAACCTTAAACTGGCCAGTATAAATGGACTCCTTTTTACAACTTCTTCTCACATCAAATGCCATAGAAATGGCCAAAATATAATGACAAAATAATTTTCTAAAAAAAAAAAAATGAAATTCCAGTAATTGGAAGTCTAATCTGTAAAAGTGTTGAACAAAGAAGAGCATGCAGGGAATTATGGCTGGGGAAGTAGCAGGGCCATAATTATGAAAAGCCAAAATAAAAATAAGCTGGTGATACGGGAGCATGATTTGTTTTCGATAAGCCATTTCTGACTTTTTCTCCTGCGTCACATTGCCTGAACTCACCATGGTTATCAGTTGTTCCTCCTTTCCGAAGCAGCGTGAACAAAAGAGAATACGGTTAAGAACTAAATTTGGAGCGGTCATAAAAGGGCCACTTATGAGTGGGTGGCCATCACAACTGTGAGATATGTCCATTGTAGCAATCTCAATGCCATCTGAAGACAAAGCTTTTTCACTTGATGTAAAAATGCCCAGTCAAATGACCATTCCCTCTTTTCATTACAAAGGTTAACATGCAATGTTTGGTGAAAGACTTTCAAGCATGCTGTGATATGTCTGCATCCAATGCAAATGTTGGCTTTTACTGTATTCCCTAGGATGGGATAGACAAACTGACCAGGGATTCAGAAGCCACCTGACCAAATTAATATCCAATTTTTAAGGCAACTGACACCTTCTGTCTCAGAGTGACAATACTCAGCCTATTGTACCTGTGGAGAGGTAGCATTATCACCCTATTATAGGTCTACAAACACCTCCCTTCTCTCCTTTTTCAATAACATTATAATTGAGGGAAGGGGTAGGTTTAGAAAAAAAATATACACACATATATAATGTGTATGTATGTATGTATGTATGTATGTATGTATGTATGTATGTATGTATGTATGTATGTATAACACATATACACACAGATAAAGATATTTGGTTCCATTGTAGCTATGTTTACTAATAACTTATACAACAAACTTTGAAATAATATTTTCACAGATGGAGCAGAGCGCAGTGCTATCTGTTCGGTCATGCAAAAGGCATCACCTTTTTCAATTGCACAAACGCACACCATTATCTAACTGTGCTCCATCTGTATGGCCATTAAAAAAAAAGACAGTCCAATCCTTTTTACACAAATTTAAAAAGGCAGTATGACACATTAAACCAATGGTGCTCAACTATGGCCCTCAGGAGCACCAGCAGCGAATGTTTTTCAGTAATATTCACAGCCTTTGAGGACCAGGGTTGAGCGCCACTGCACTAAAACTCAAGAAAATGAAGAAAATGTTGAGTATTTCAGACGTGCCATAAGGAAGATTCAAGACAAAGTTAAAAAAACAAAAATGCTAGAGACCGATAAACGCTTTAGTGCGATACGAATCGTTCAAGCAGCTCTAGAAACGTTTATTTCACCGCATTAAAATGTTTGAATCATAAAAATACACGTCCACCTGTGCCTGGAAGAAAATACATATTTTAAATGTATATTGTATCAAGTGTACATTCTGCATCAGTCCTATGATAAATATTTAGGCAATCCACAAAGTGAACAAAAACAAGAATGCACGGTGAGTATTTTTTTGTAATAAGCCACTTTTTTCACCTACCTCGATAGCATCTTTAAATTCATCATCAGGTTCAGCTTCCTCTGCTTCCTCTACACTCCCCGGAGAGAGGTCCTGCCACATAAAAAACAACATTTTATGATGTGCTAAACATTCCCACAAATCTACTGTGTAACATAACTATGCAGTAAATAGAACATGGCAATATCCTTTCCCTACTTACATCCAGCTAGAATCATAGAGCTCCCAAATTTTTGTTACATCGGAATAACTCATTTTAGCCACAATAGGTTTTTCTTTCCGTTGGTTTCAGTAATAGAAGAGTCAAGATCATGTTCATTCTATGCAGCAATCATCACCATATCTCTCCTATCTACATTGTTGTAATTATTTATATTTCACAGCACTGTAAAGGTTTGTAGCACAGATACTCATTTAATGACAGAGTTCTGTTCCTATGACTAGGTTGTTAAGAGAACTGGTCGCTAAGCAAGGAATAGAGGAAATCAGCTCCAGTATACGGTACAGTGTACAATGCCGACCATTCAGAGAGCTGGTCGTAATGTCAAACGGTCGATTACTAGGGTTTGCACATTGGAAGTACCCAAGTTCCTGTACACTGTACAATACTGACTGGTCAGGGAGCTGGTCATAAATCCGAATGGTCGATTACTTAGGTTTGCATACTGAAAATACCCACGTTCCTGTACACTGTACAATGCCGACCATTCAGCGAGCTGGTCGTAATTTCAAACAGTCGATTACTTAGGTTTGCACACTGGAAATACCCAAGTTTTTGTTCTAGTTGTGTCTGAACGGTCGTTAAACAGGTAGGATGTTCAGTAAGGAGTAGCTGTACATAAAACTAGATAAAAGTGGGATATTCAGTGGGATAAATATAGCTGCGAAACACCCCTATCATACCATATCTACATAATAAAAAATATATCAAGTCATAGCAACATAACAGTATGTCTTGAACTCGCTCGGCGAGGTAAGTAAGAAGAAACCTGACGCTGACTCGAGTATAAGCCGAGGGGGGCACTTTTCAGCAAAAAAAATGGGCTGAAAATCTCGGCTTATACTCGAGTATGTACGGTACCTCTAAAACAACAGAGTATGCTTCAATTCACACTTGAGCATTAGCCTTTTCTCCCACGTGCCCATAAGTAATTCCCAGCACAGGTATCCTTTTAAGTGTATTTACTACTTTGCAGTCACATTTGAGAAAACCCCACCATATGTTTGTCCTGTGTTCCTATTCACGCAGCATTAGGAAAACATTTTTTTAAAATATATTTCTCACCTTTTAGATGTCTCCGTTGAGCGGCCCTTTGAACAGACTGCAAGCTACTTTCAAAGTGACAGGAAACTCTTTGCCCATAGAAGACTGGTGTCCCTGTTGGTGGCCTTGTGGTGGAGTGATGCTGCCCTCTGCAGGCTCTGAATCTACCCAACCGACTCGGCATGCCCCCCAGTTCCTGTCAACCAGAAGCTGGGTGGGCCGTTGGCCAGAGTATGCCAGGTTGCTAAGAATAAGTGGGGAGATGTGTATGGCCCTTAGATATTTTCCCGCCCGGCGCTTAGCGACCTGGGACACTCTAGCCAGAAAGGGGGCAGCAGGCACACTGCAAGCATGCCATGTCGTGAAACACCCCCACACACATTACCCAAAGATATGTCTCCCTAGGCAACAGCCTTAGGCTGCCTCATTAAAGGGACGACCCTGCTCACAAACATACAATACTTATAGATCTTTAACCCTTGTTAGGCCGTTAGGATAGACAGTGTTCAAATCTAGTGTATAACCGATAATGAGATGTGCCAGCACAGCACAGACCGGGTTAATTATGGTAACCTCACCACCCCCTTGCATTACAGAGGAAAATTAGTTGAAAGAAAACTAGTAATATCAGGAAGTAAGCAGAAATGTTAATAAAACTTTTTTTTTTCAAGTTATGCAGTGCGAATGGGAACATGTAACAAATATAAAGTAGGTGTTATCCCAATTTGGCTACAAAACGTGTAAATGCACAGCATTTGCGCCTGCATGGCCATGCAGGCGCAATCGCAAAGCAATTTTTTCTTTTGAGTGATTGGTGCACAAACCTATAGATTCATATCTTCCAAGTGCATGTATTTGCAATTTTCGGATATGGAAATAAATGAAATATCTGATGTCACCTGTAAAAATCTGTCTGGTCAAAATTGTTTTAAGAATGGAATTTCTGGCAAAAAAATTTCATATGAAAGAAAATGTAGATCAGATAGTCACCAGCACACACGCAATTTATCAATTAATCTGATTGGATTTATCAAATCAGTGTCACCATTTGTCATACACAGCCAGCGTTTCAGGGCCACGTGGGGCGACATAGTGACACCACACTTGAAACAAACTGTATCTCATCGCACTCCTGACCAGAAACAAAACCCCAAAAAAGCAAGGTGGGTGCAGCAGTGACAGCAGATGCCTCTGCAAAACATATGCAAGTTCAGATAGAAAGTCACTCGCACTCCAATGCAATACCAAGTCAATATTTTTTTATTGACTGAGGTAGTGTAGCATCTTACAGCTGTGCAAAAATATTGACTTGGCATTGCATTGGAGTGCGAGTGACTTTCTATCTGAACTTGCATAGTGACACCACACGGTGCCATCCGTGTCATCACTACAAGCACCGCCATCTTGCAAAGTCATGACGCTGTATGAAGTGCAGGTGACTAATGACACTATCATATGAAGGAAAATGTCCTTCAGTGGGGTCAAGGCAGTATCTAATTCATACATAGGTGAACCACATGCATGTATTTGTAAATGTACCCCCCTCCCCTTCCTCCAGTAGTTTCATTTTCTTTACATTTAAATCTGCTTACAACAGAAGGAACTCAAAAGGAGCCCATTGTTCCGATACATAGGAAATCAGAGCACAGCAGGTGATCGTTGGCCCTGGGCAATCGATTCTTAAAGGTGGCCATACACTTTACAACCATCGCAAGACCTTAGTCTTGCGATGGTTGTAAAGTAATTTAAAAAACGTACGATCTGCACATCTTGGACAGGCAGATCGTACTTGCGATCATCGCAGGCCCAGCCCTCTGAGGGGCAGGCTTCCGATGACCGCAATGCTTAACGGGCAGTGTGCGCATGCGCACACCGGCCCGTTCGGCATTTGTCTCCCGAGCATCATTCAAACCAGCCGAAAATCGTAAGATTTTCGGCTGGTTTTCTAGCATGCTCCTTAGACAAAAGATGTGCGACCGTACAGTAGAAACGGTCACTTGTCTTCATTCACACTGCACGATTCTCGTACGATCGCGGGATTTCCCGCGATTCTCATACGGGAATCGTGCAGTGTATGGGCACTTTTAGAAACACTATTCCCGTTTTCAGCTTCTACTGGATAAATAAAAGTGCATATACTGTATTGGGCTTTCTTTTTTTCCAGATGACAGCAGGTAAAAGCGGAAAGACTGCTCTTTATCTATTTTTTATTATTCATACGAATCCAAAAGTAAAATTCCCTGGACAGAAAGAAAGCTCCTCTCTCCTGCCATTTACATGTTTATTGGACTAACAACAAAGCAGAATATATTCCATTTAGGGTGATTACTTTAATAGAGAGTCATAGCAAAGCACTAACCCATCATTCATAGAGGAAAAGTGATAGCTCCAATTTCATTATAAAGTCTAATCTGTATTTAATCTTCTCAGAATAAAAAACTTGATCAGCAAAACAAAAAAACTTGGCAGCACTGAGCCTCTAATATGTTTTACAAGAGAAGATTGTTGGGCAAGGAAAAGGCCAATGCAGGAAAAAGTTTTGTTTGAGTATTACTCTTTTAGTTTTCTTTATACTTTAAAAAATAGGTACAGATTCATTTAACTTATAATACATTTGTATGGTGGCAAAACAATCAACATTTTGGCCATTGCCATATATACAATAGGGATGCACCAATACCGGTATTTCAGCATTGAGTACGAGAACCGATATATTTTTTTCCGGTACTCGCCGATACCGAATACCGGAAGTCCCATTCAGGAAGCCAGGCGGTGTGTAATGACTCGCCACCTGGCTTCCTGATAAGCCGGGCAGCGCGTAAAGAATTGCCGCCTGGCTTCCTGAAAAGCAGGGAAGCCGTCTCCATGCTTCTCGTCACTAGGTGATGAGAAAGCATGGAGCCGGCTTTCTACAACAATGTCACAGACAATGTCGTGAAGCTGATGGGGTTCCTTCCTTTCCCTAATTTTTTTTTTTAAGTTATTCTTGTCTTTCTTGATATTTGACATTTACCTTCACTTCCTGTCTAGTAAAATCGTTTTCACCAGGTCACAATGTAAGAGGAAATCTCACTGAGGGCCTGTATCGATGGAAAGTTGCAACGTGCTTTTGACATCAGTTGAGACATTCAGAATTCATTGCAGGTGTAGTTCACCTGCATTTGACCTGCTTCAGCTGCTTTTGCATTCCCATTGACTTGTACGGAGAGAGGTGCAGTTCATAAAGGAAACAAAAGCCTATGGACACTGTCTTAACACAGCCACGGATTGCAAAAACCAACAGGGTGTTCTTATCCTTCCCCAAAAAAAGTTGGCTACTTTTTCAATACTAAAAACAAAACTGCCAATTTTGCTTGCAATGCATTTGCACTCCGAGTTACTGTTCACATGAAATATTTTCACCAGTAGAAAAGGTTTTATCTGGAACGCTAGAAACTTTTTAACGAGACCCATGAAAATTAAGTTTTCAAGGCGCCTGCCATGTTGTAAATAACTCTTAATACTTTTCCCCCGTGAATAAGCTGGAGGTTCTGTCATTCGACCAAAGGATACTTTTGTTTTTAAAGGTTTGATATCCATGTGGTTGGTTAAGAAAATCCATAATGCAGAATATACATATGATTTACAGCAGTGGAAATGTACTTGTCTACTCCCAGCGTGCCTTTTTAAGTCCTTATGGGCATACACTGAAGCCGTGTAATCGGCTTAATTTTTTCTAGGGCTGTTGGAAGCAAAATTAATCGTGTTTCCAACATGAATTGAGAAGCGATTCTGAAATCCTACCAGTTTATGGCTTGTAAACTCTGAGCTGTCCGAGCAGGAGGAGAACTGAGGAGACAGAAAACGGAGGAGGAAAACAGAGAGGCATTAAGGGGAGAAATGGTTTTTGTGAAGCAAAAAGAAAAAAGGAACAGCAAGGAAACCAGGGCTGGCAGAAGAATTAATATATAGTACAGCAACCAAAATAGAAACAGGAGGAGAAATTGAATTACTGTTATGCAAAAAGGGAATACTTTTCCGAAAAACACATTCATCATGAAAATAAACAAAGCAATATCTCGGCCCACAAAGGAAGGCCGGGCTTGGATCCAAGCTTGGACGAAGCGCTCAGCCTTTGCCAGGCTGTGACTGATTTAGGAGACTCCATCCAGCATCAGTACAGGAATACAACTCAGTGGGATCCCAGTATCTCCTTCCAAGTTACCAGATGGGTAGTCAACTCATTCCTCACGAGGGTGAAAGAGTTTATCTTATAGTCCGTGGAGTATTACAGGAATGTGCAGAATAATGCAGCAATTATATTAAGAGTATAATAATTATCATCAGATGCTAAGAAAACCATTTGTATAAGCAATAGGATGAATTATAGAGAATGTGAAAGATGAAAAAAGGAGGGTGATCTTGGCAATGCATTTGTTTTATGTTTTAAAAAAAAATGGAAGTCACATTTGCCTTTTTTTTTTTTTTTAACAGAGATCCACCCAGCTGGCCGATTGACTGTGGTCTCTGCCTATCTAGAGGCAGAGCCAGCAGTGTCCACCCCCCCTCCCATCCATCCCTCCAGTCAGCACTGGAGAATTGGAGGGGGGGGGGGAATCCCCCAGTCACCGCTCTCTGCAGGGAGATGATTGGAAAGTGAGCGAGCGACAGTATGTGGTCGCTCACTTCCCGATCAATAGAGCCGATGTGCGACAGTTTCACAGGAAGTTTCAACTAGGAGGATAAGTGTAAATCACTCAACTCATAGTTCTCCTTTAAAGACTCCCTATATTAGAGCTTTTTTTTATTAGACCATTGCCCTCATTCAGTAATTTAGGTAGGTAGAGATAATTATCAGGTGCTACTTACTTCTGGACTGGTTGGGACTGGGGGTGTGGGAGTCCGCTCCACAATAGAAATGTTTTCAGCCTCTTGCGTTACTTGTGATGGTTCTAGCAACAACGGCTCACTGCCACTTCTTTGCTGCAAAGATGCCTTGCATTCTGCGACCACTATAAATCAAGACAAATCGGCAGCCTTATTCATCATGCATATAACACAAGGAAAACAGCTGATCTACTGCCACATACCTAATGAAAGGAAAATTTGTTACAAATCGGTTTGAGGCGAATGGAGAACAAGTTTCAAGCATCATGTTAGCTTATTTTAGTAAGGCAAATAGTAATGTGCAACAACCCACAGGACCCAATACCACTCCATATGTCATCTGAAAAATCAAATCTGGTTGCTATAAATGATTGCAATTTGCACAAAATCATTGCACTTCTTCACTGAAGAACATGGAAAGTGTCACATTTCACATTTCTCTCGCAGACCATAGTAAATCCTCATACAATAAGTGACAGCATAGGCATGTGGGCAGTTTAAGAATTCTTTTACACCTTTTTTTCCGCACGCTTAATATATGATAAAAATGATTGTGTTCTTTTATTCAAAATGCCCTTGTAGGCGACCTTTTTAAATACTATTATTATTCATGCTAGCGGAAGAGGAATGTGCATACCAGGCAATATTTTAGATTGCTCCCTGTACATGGCCTAAACTCAGCCCACTCTCCATCGTGCTAAGTATATTGTTGCCCGATACACAGATGACACTACCTGCAAATCATGGATAGACCAGACTCTGCATAGGGAGGGAAGCTTGCAAATGAAAAGAAGAACAAAGCTCAGTGATGGTCACCCAATTGTTAAACAGTAATAATAGAGCTCTGGCTTTATTTTGGTATATTGCTTGTTGATTATTAGACATGTGCAATGGGTTTCGGAAAGATTCGTCATTCGGACAAATTTTCGTTATTCGGAGATTCAGATGTATCCGAATCTGCGAATGACAGAAATGACGTTAGCGGTAGCCTGTACGAAAACAAAATTGACTTTTTTTTCAGTTAAAGGATTTTTTTTTTCTAAAAGTGGGTTTTCTTTATTTACATTGAATTTTAAACCTTTAGTGAATGAGTAGGGTACAAGTACCCCTTCCTTATTCACAAGGGGGAGGCGGAATCTGGGTACCCCTTAATTACAGGGGTACCCCAATGAAAATAAGCCCCTTTGCCCACAGACCCCCACACCCACCGGGTCAGGGTTGAGAGGAAGAGGCCCTTGTCCCCATCCCCACCCCCTTTCCTGGATCAAGGGTCTGGTAGGAATTTTAGGGAATGAGGAATTTTAAAATTCCTACCAGACTTAAAGGGCCTGGTATGGATTTTGGGGGAACCACAGACACACTTTTTTTTTTTATCAATTGGGGGGGGGGGTCCTCCCTAACATTCCTACCTGACCTAAATGGTCTCTGGTATCAATTAGGGGGGGGGAAGGACCTCACACTTCTTTTTTCTCTTCTGCAGACTATCATTTTTTTTTTTGTCTAATGTCATTTTGCTGCAACGGAAATTCGTCCAGAAACGAAAATTCGTACGGACTACGGCTAACGAATTTCGTCTGAATACAAATTCCGAAACAAAATTGAGCTTCGGACCCGAATCCCGAAAAATCAGAATGAAAACAAAACAAAAAAACACATTTTTTGCCGGGGCACATGTCTATTGATTATGGCTTATGTTCTACAACATTTAATCTTTACCTATACTGTATTTTAAAACACAGGGCTACACCGTTGCATAATAGAATATAAAAGTTATTCCGTCAGAAATCTGAGTAACTAAAACAGAGCACATCATGAAACAAAATGTATACATAAGAGGTTACTTTCAGCAATAACGGCATTTCAAAATGGTCAGTTGAGACAGAGATCTGGGAAGCGGAAGCTATGTGCAAATCTCTAGTTTATTGAGACTGTAGCACTTGATCCTCTGAACGGTCCCTCATTTGGATCCAAATCTCTCTGTTCCTCTTTCCTTCTCAGCTGTCCCTCTTTTTGATCTGATGTACAGATATCTATGAAAAGGTTCTACTTAAAAGAGAACTATGGGCCAACCTTTTTGCCATCCCTCCAGTCAGCGCTGGAGGCATGGAGAGGTGATGGGGGAATCCCTGCAGGGAGCGGTAACTAACAGTCACTATTCTCTGCAGGGAGAAGATCCGGGATTTCACTCTCCCCATAATTCTCCATTAACTACCAAAAGTGTTATTCTGCACTAAAACCTTTATCTTATCTCTTATTAATGTTTGGCTTTATGAAAAGCCAGTATAAAAAGGAAAAGTTAAAAAGATAACAATTTTGGGTTTAACCAATCATTTTTGGCATGTAAATTCTTAATGGTCTGCATAACTGGGGATGTGGCAGGGTGTTCATTGCCCAAATACTTTAAATCAGTGGATCTCAACCTGTGTAACCTCAGGACCCACATTTATCCATGGTCATTACGTCGCGACCCAAGTTGCACTGCAATGGAACGCATAGCATTAGGGTACTGCATTTTCCGATGCGGGCGATGGAACTGTGGTTGGGATGCCGTTCAAATGAACGAAAATGCCTTACACACCGAATGCGCGGTAGGTACGATTGTGTGGCACAGTGCATTAAATCACACAGGACTGTGCAATTAACGCACTGTACTAGTGTGAACGGGCCCTCAAGAACACTGACAGACACACACAAGCACAGACACAATCTCACAGACAGACATTCACACACAAAAACAGATCCACCCCGTCTCCCTACCTTACGAGAACTAGAGTGGATCCTCAGCCTGGGGTCCAGTGTGGGCTCCTGTACTGTGAAGGAGCTCCATCCATATGTGCATTGCTTGTACAGCTCCCTTGTGTGCCCTGTAGAGGTGCCAGAAGCCAAGATGTGACATCACTCTAGTCTAGTCCCGGCACCTCTACATGGAGCGCAAGAGAGCTGGACAAGCAATGCACATATGAACGGAGCTCCATCACAGCACAGCAGCCCACACTGGACCTCAGGGTGAGGATCCACTCCAGTTCTCATAAGCTAGAGAAACTGAGTGGACCTCGAAGTGTGTCTGTGTATTTACAGTATGTCAGTGTTTTTGAGGGCCCATTCACACTAGTACAGTGCGTTAAACTCTACCATGCAATCGCACCTACCATGCATTCTGGTGTAGGAGGTGTGTTGCGTTGCCATTCATTTGAATAGTACCTCAAACGCACCTCCCACCCACAGTTCGTATGCCTGCACCAGAACGTGCGGTACCCTATTGCCGTGCGTTTCATTGCAGTGCGACTTGGGTCGCGACCCAATGACCGAGGACAAATGTGGGTCCTGAGGTTACACAGGTTGAGAACCACTGCTCTACAGGGCATGTGAGGGAGCTGTAAGCAATGCATGCATGTATGGATGAAGCTCCCTCCCGGCCATAGCTCTAGCACACCCCACCTCAAGCCGACACTCGGCACCGGGCAGCATATTTGGAATGGCTGCTTGGTGCAAGAACTGACAGTGTTGCGCTAGGGGAGGCTGAGGAGCCTCTCACCTAGAAAAGTGTAAGGTATGCGGTGGCCCACTGAGCACGGGGTCACAACACACCAGTTGAGATAAAAGGCTTTAAATTATCTAAATGCTGGTGCAATTATCTAGGAAGCATAAACAAAGCTTTTGCATCCCAGATCACTTTTAGAAGTTCGCTGTAAAACAGGTGTAGTGGCATTTAGCCACATTTACATTAGTATAGCCGTGTTCAGGGTTTCTAATCAGATTCTAGACATACATCATTCTATTTTCTCTAAACGCAGCTGAATGGCACTAAACGTAAGTGAACCTCCAGTATGAATGATACCATTGAAGAAATATTGCCTTACTTTATATATGGAATTTGCTTGATTAGAGAGATTAACACCGACAATTTACGCAGCGCTTTACATACATTACATTCACATAAGTCCATGGCCTCGAGGAGCTTACAATCTAAGGTCCCTACTGCACACGCAGGGCCAATTTAGATAGGAACCAATTAACCTACCAGCACATGTTTGGATCTTACAAATGTTCCAACTGCCCGTTCCTGACTGGTGCTCTTTATAAATCCCAGTTTGTAAATACTGCATTGTGCCCCAACTGCTTGTTAGCATTCAATATCCTTACTGCGTGCTATTAAGGTAAGCAGAAAAAAATTACTACATCCCATGGCTGTAAAGCACATTGGCAGCATATGCCGACAGTTCTTTTAAAACCATCTCACAAAATGGTTTAGATAAATCCCCACTTAAGAATTATTATTTTTTTGTATATTCTGTATTGTACAATTGATCTACATCCAACACTCCGCTCTGCCAACAGGCATTAAAGAAATTGGCAAACAATCTTCTAACATTCTTAAGCATTCTTATCTCCTTTCTAAATTTGTACAAAGATAAACATGACTCAGACTTCAAAATATCTTCATATCTTGGCTTTACTAAATTAGCATGACATATTCAATACCACAGCCCACCTTCTGCTAGCCTATCTGTGGGGTTAATTTCCCTTCAAATATTTGCTTATGTTATCATTGCTAACAGTAAAAAGGTAGGGCCCTATAACAAAGGTGCGCCTGTAATTGCTTGCCAACGATGGCCATGAAATGACAAAGCCCCCCCCCAGTCCTTGAAATCGTGTTTCTCATTTCACAACCACAAGCCTCTTTGCCTTTTTATCGAGAACAGCCGGCTTGTCCTGTTTTTGAAAAGTACAAATTTGCTCCGACCTCCTCTACTCTCTGGGTCAAAACGGTTGAATGCTCAATGTGCCTCTAAGTATTTACAAAACGGACCTAAATTAAATGGCATTGTAGAAGAAGAATGCTTGATAATAAAAAGAGACCTACAGAGCTTTGTTAAGAATGTACAGAGGTTTCCATCAAGACTTTATTGTGAAGAGGAAACATAATGTAACAATTGTACGCACTTGTACAAAACCTGCAGAAATATGTTCAAAGAAAACAATATAAGCACTGGTTAAAAAGATCTACTAGCACATCTTAACCTGTTGACCTGGGTTAAAGTGGAACTCAAAATTTGTCAACCACCTCCCCTTCCTCAACTTAAAGCCCCCTCTCTGCCAGTAGTTAAAAAAATAAAATATGTAC